GGCCGGCGGCAGCGGGCGGCTCCCGGCGGCGGGTCGGGGCGCGGCCTGTGCCGCGAGCCCGGGCGGCAAGGGGAGGGCGAGGCGGCCCCGGGGGTCGCCCCGCGCTGCCGGGGGGGCTGCGGGAGCCGCTTCCAGAACGATCCGTGCGGAGAGGGAGGCAGCGGGGCCGAGGGAGCGGGAGGGGACTGCGTTTATGRCCGCAACACCAAAGCAGTGACAGGCAGCAGTAAAACGCCGCCCCGCCTCAGGCCCAAGGGGTGGCTCTTGCACCCTGCCGGCAGCAGAGCCCATCGCCAAGTCAACTACAGATGCAGCCATTGGGGTGGCTCCTCTAACTCCTGTTTCCTTCAGCAGCGCATCCCWGGGGAGGACGCCGCTTGCAAGAGGAGAGAGCCCCTTCTCCCAGGATGAACGCGGACATGGATGGTACAAGTTCTTACTGCTGTTGTTTGTTATGGGTGCCCTGCTACGGGTATTGCATTAAAGCCTCTGTGATTTGTTGCAGCTCTTGAAGCGGAGAATCAGGTGGAGTTAGAAGAGAAAACACGGCTCATTAACCAAGTTTTGGAACTGCAGCACACACTTGAAGGTTAGCAATGCGCCACGCTAGTTACCTTCTATAAGCAAAGCGTTAAACAAAAGGAGAACCTTGCAGTTCTGCCTACCTTACCCTGAACGTGCTGCTGTCCAGAAGAGATGGTGCTTCCGCAGCTGGAGTTACATAAACGAGATCTCGGTAGAACCTCCAGTGATGCCAAGCAGGTTTTTAGTATTATGCAACGTGTTTGCTCAACAGGCAGGAGGTGATACAGGATCGTCTTTGAGACGGTTCAGTATTGACATTGTTTTCAAACAATGTAGTTCGTGGTAGCTTAATTCAGCAGCAGTCTGGAAAAGAATCAAGATACAGATTAGTAATTAGCATGTGGAACAAATTTGCCCTAAGATACCATATTTTAAGTAACTTGTGARAAACAGGTCTTTAGGTAAAACTTGGAGTAGGACAGTGTTTTAAGAGGTACCATACAGCCATGTTAAAAATGTGAATGGATTGAGGTAGACACACAGAATATACTCTTTAGTGTTTGCAACAATGTCTAATGTTTCTTGTGATTAATGTCACTTCCACAGATCTGTCAGCACGAGTAGATGCTGTCAAGGAAGAAAACTTGAAACTGAAATCAGAAAACCAAGTTCTTGGACAGTATATAGAAAATCTGATGTCAGCATCTAGCGTTTTCCAAACAACTGACACAAAAAGCAAAAGGAAGTAAGGGTTGATTCACAAYGTCATTGTATTGCTGCTGTCATTTTTGTTTTAATTGGCATAGGCTACATGAGCTAAATACCTTAGTTTGTGGCTTTACTGGAAACCTGAAGACTGCAAGCTTCAGTGGTAAAACAGAATTAAGAGCTTATCATGAACAGGAGACAAGTCTCTGTATTGTTAAGATTAAGCAGTGTGCAAGTGTAGTGTAGAAACTAGGCTTTCATATTTGTTTTTAAAAATGAGCATATCTTGTTAAACTGGATTCAGTTTGTCAGATTACACAAATGTGTCTGTTGGTTACTTTTGAGGATTTAGGGTAGTGTTCTTGCCTAGGAAAATAATACAATTATAAAATGGAAATGTTGAAACCTTATTTATTATAAATATTTTAAGTCTAATTGCATCACCTTTTTCACTACAAATATACTTAGATTGCTGCATGGTACTATCTGTATCTCTGCAAAGCAATTCTAAAACTAGTTCGTAGTTTCTGTGAAGTAATAGCAGTATAACATTCCTTGCAGGGCTTGCAGATGTGATCATTTCTTTTGATACAGAAAAGGAATTAAGATTGTGTGTAGGGGAGGAAGAGGGGAGGATGGATCAGGGAAATACTGAATTGATGCAGTATCAGACTGTTGATAAGATGCACACTTCAAACCACCTTCACTCTCCTGCTTCCTCAAAGCAGGTTCAGGCACTGCATCATGGTGTAGGTTTTCAGCTGTGTGATGAAGAGTTACAAATACACCAGGTAATAAGCTTGACAGAAGCAAAAAGGCAGCAGTGTTCCTCATGCTCATTCTGAAAACGCTGCAGTGAGGAACCAAGAGCAAAGCCTTCCTTGCCACCTTTTACCTTCCTCCTGAAGTGCCAAAGCCATCCTTGCTTCAGGCCTTAGAGCAGCAGTTTCCCTGCTACAAAGGCTCAGCTTGCRGAGAGCCTCTGGAGATGTAGCCCGAGCCCGTCCAAGGCAGGAGAGGTGGCGCTGCCTCCGAGCTGCTCCAAGTGGTGCCTCGTGTCCCCGTGYCCTGCCTTAGGCTGGCTAGGGTGTCTGAGCGCCAGCTTTGGAGGAGCGCTCAGGGGCCTCGGTGCTTCCCAGAGGGAGGACACATCTGGCATGATCAGTATTAAGAAAAAAAGCAAGAGCTGAAATAGAAGCAACAGTGTAAGTTTCATCATGACTCAGTTACATCCAATTCATCTGGCCAATAGCAGCTTACTGGACTTGCCTAGGGACACTGGCCAAAACTCAGGCCTGTCTGTTAGGTAATAAAGCCATTTAACTTTGCCTGTTAACAAAAGGAAACAGGAGTTCAAGGCTGTCTCATCTTTGTTTTTCAGAATCTAGCAGAGCAAGCAAGGCCGCAGGAACCGCATGAGCAAGTGGCTAGGCARTGGCAGATATGGGCCATCTCAAGGTGCGAGTTTCTCAGCAGCTGAGCACTGCTCTTCCCAGCTACAAGCAGAGCTTGTGCTGTTCCCTTCCCTGAGAGAGGCCTCCCATTTGTCCCTATTTAAACTAGCTGTATAATGCTCATTACTGGAGCATCCCCATCGAGTTACTGCACACACAGCACTAAACGGGTAGTCGAGACAAGAAACTCGCTTGCAACTTCTTTTTGAGTAGTGTTGGGAAATTCACTCAACAGCTGTAGACTGTTCTCTTTTACTGCCTAGATTACATCCAAGAATTGCTATCAGGTAGAATTAGTCACCTGGCTAATAGCCTGCTTGGTGTCTCAAGGGTTTGAGGATTAAAAAAAATAAACAAAAGCTTCAAGCACTTAGAAAAATTTCCATTTCATTATAGCCATCCTAGCGTAAAAGCCATGTCGGTACACATTTTCATCTGCACTGTAAGAGATGCCTACCAATGTCAAGTGGTAACAGAGCATGCACTTGTTAAATTTAAGCAGTTCTCCYGAGATGAAGTAATCTTAAAATCATGGTTTTGTCTTGTAAGACTGGATAGTAGTATTTTATCCATCTATGTATATAGCAGCCACTTCATTTATAAACACTTAACATCCCACTGTTGTGGCCTTCATTTAACTTAAAAACATTTTAAAGATGTTGTATTTCTGACTTTACACTAAATAAAAGCTTTTGATTTGTCTGAATTAGTGCAACGTTTGTAAATTGTTAAACTGTTCAAAGAAAGGTAGAAAAACAAGTTTGTTGCTTATTTTTTTTCTGCACAGATGAAGTCTGAAAGCTGAAAGATGAAATGTGATTAGCAAGTTTGGAGAGACAGATTAATCATTCACCCCTGGATATTCTATTTCCATAGGCTTATCTATAGCCTCAAGTCCCCTACTCACTTCTGGCATTGTTCTTGTAGTTACTAGCAGAAGGGGGAGGTATCTATATCAACTGTGTCTTCTAAGCTCCAGGKAGCTGAAAGGATTAATGTTTCATTTAATTAATGTCTCACTCCTGAGGTGAGACAGTCAGTATTGCTGCCCACAGCAARGGAGTGAGTTAGCACTTGAGATGATTTTATCCATAAGAAACGTCTCCTTACTCACCGAAAGGACAGAAAGTTGTTAATGGGGTACTAATCAAGACTTTATGGCAACTATAGGCTCAGAAGTGTTCAGGAAAGCCCAGAATCCCTTACGTAGCAACTGATCTATGGAGCAATGGATCATAGCCATGAAACAAGCAGACTGGTGGGAAAAAAAAATAAAATGCTGTCAGCTCACAGCAATCAGCAGTTTCATCCTTAGACCAAGTGCTCGGGTCCCTTTGGTCACTGGCAGTATTTTTCACTGCTGACAGTCTCCATCTATGGTTAAAATGTCACAGCAGAACAGGGAGCCCAAGGCCATCACTTGTTACCCACAGCAAACARAGTAAAGACAACACAACTCATGCATTTTAACATTTCTTACCAGAGACCTTTCTAACTGTTTCTCCACAGAAAACAGAGTCCAGTATTCTTAACTTTTAAACACTTCAAGCACTTGAATACGAAGGCTTCTTCACACACTCATTTGCTAGAGTTACATGGTAGTGGCAGAGCAAACAAAACCTTTGCTGACTGAATTTCTTTTACTACAGCAAACTACTTCCTTGTCAGGCATGAGGAAAATCCATAAAGATCTCTAAGAATTATTTCTAGTATATAGGTCTTCTTGCCAGTAGTTTACACATACCAAACAGCAAAGCCACCAACAGCAGGAGGTTTTCAGTGATTGCAGTTTATTTTTTTAAACGTACAACTGAACTTTAAACAAAACAAAGGTTATCTTACAATATTTAAAGTATATTATGGCAACAGCCATTGCTTATGCCTGTAAAATCTTAATCCATCAAAATTATCTGTATTAATAGATTTTGTATTAAGTAAGAATTATTAAATATTTTAAGAGGCAATGTACACTTAGCAAATATTCTATAAATAGGGGCTATGCCATTGTGGCTTGGAACATGAAAATTATAAAAAGTYTGAAAAAAGTTACCTGTGGATCACTCTGCTGCTGTAGATTTGATATCTGCCTTCAAGAGTAAAACTAGACCTCTACTAGTTAACCACTTTTTCTATGAATATTCTATTCTAAAGCTCGTCTTAAAATAAATCACTGTAATGAATGTCTAAAATGAACAGGGAGCTACCAAAATAACAGTATCAACTAAATAATTTACAATAAAAAATGTGGCTAAAACTACATCTTACAAAAACAGTATTACTGCATTTAGCTCTGCACAAAAAACGATCTTAGCAGTATGAACTGCTATAGATTATAGCAACTGGATTATCATCCCATGTGAGCTGAAATATGTAAATAGCTACTTTTGTGCTAGAGCTAAAAAAATATAATTTATTCCTTTAATGCTTTAAAAATATTTATAGTCAAAATTTACCTCCAACTCCTACTCATTTCTAAGAATATTTATCTTAAAATCCAAAGACCAACCTGCATTTTTCCTTTTACTCTAAATTCAAAACATTAGCTAACTCTTCACAGGTATTTCTCCCTAAAAAAAAGGGAAATAGGAAAAGTCTGAAAAGGTTAAAAGAGGATGGAAAATTAAAATAGGAAGGTACATAACAACAAGTCCCGTGTTTTTTTTTGTTTTCTCCCCCAGGGACTTGCATGCTGTCAGGCCTACTGAAGTGCCATACCAAAAGTTACAATTATCAAGTTCCAAAAGTATTAGCCAGAAAAAAATTAGTCTTTTCGTACTCTCCTTTTGCGAACTGATTTCAGTGGGCCATCTCCAGAGCCTGTGCCTTCATCAGCTTCTTTCATCTGAAATGAAGAAAAATAAAATGAAAAAAGAACTTCAGTACTAACATTTACATTTCTTTACTGAAACTCGTCTTTTTTTCTGCCCCTTCCCCCCATCATATCACTGAATATAACACTTCATTGACAAGATTAATCTAATGATAAATAACGTAAAAAACTTTTCCTGTCTTTATTCAAGAAAAAGAGAATAGCACATCTAAACTCAAATTAGTCCTTCAAAATTATTTTAATGTTCATTTCCTAAGTAAGAAACACTTAAAACATTAAAACTGTATGCCTTGGGGAGGACACAAACAGAACTGCCTAGTTAATCCAGATCTCCATTCTTTCTGCTCCTAAGCGAATGGCTTAGATGTAGGTCTACAAACCCTCTTTCCACCAGGAACTCTGTTCTCAGAGGACACGTTGCTTCCTCGTTCCTGCATCACACCAGGCAAATATCTGGTTCAGAATGAGCAATTCACTGAATGCGGCCCTACTTCAGTGCTGACGTGGTGTTGATGACATCTCCCAGTTAGGCCACGAGCTAACTAATGATAAAAGCTTCTATGTTCTGAAAATGCCCACACAGGAGAGACATAGCCTTGTGGTGACTGGTACTGTGTAATGGATTAGGCATATTCCAGACTTGTATTGCAAGATCACATACAGCTTAATGGGCTCATCAGATATTCTATTCTTGGCTAAATGCACCAAAAAAAAAAAAAAAAAAAAAAAAAAAAAAAAAAAAAAAA